AATGCCTATAAACCCCTTTTATATTTAATGTATCATTTTGTGGTATTTGCATAATTCTATACATTTTTCAAGTGTAGATAAAGCAAATGTTCACGCATTATATTATAATGCTCAGTTTACCCATTAGTTCAACAGTAATTAACTTGTTGCAGCTTAGAGCTTCAAAAATAAATGAGATTATTTGTTCAAAATGCCATCAGGTCTTCCTAGAATGACATTTAAATTATATAATGTAAATCCATTTGACCTGTGAGTCCTTGTCATTATTTAGTGACATTTCTTGCAGAATAAATTGTTTGCAGGTTGGGCAGCCTGCTATGGAGCTTGCCAGAGAGCTATAAAAACAAATTATCCTTTCATTTTATACATCATTTGTTCAAACATTTGTAAAAATTGCTTTGTTTTTCTATAATAGAGAAGTGTCATTCAATGGTTAAAAGCACATTAGCTATTTTAGATAGAGACCACAGAGTGTATCAGGCAAAAAGTATCTGTGAAGGAAGAATGTTACATCTGCCATCTCACACACATTAAGTTAAGGACAAAGAAGCCCTTCTCCTCTTGCCTGCTAAGGCAAGGAAGATACAGTGAATACAGATTTTTTTTTAAGTTGAGAAAATGTAGATTGTTTGGGTCTCATTTTGTTCTCCTCTGTTCATTGTTCTAACTTTTGCATTTGCTTTACCAGTACAGCTAAATATTTAAATAACAGTAAAATATCCCAGATTTACTACAGGGCTAGCACATAAAACCAGTCAAACAGAGTAAAGTGAATAAAGATCATCTCTATTATCCTAGGAAGTCAATAGCTGTCAAAGAAGTATTAGTTCTCATTCATTTTATAGACTTCAGGCACTTATATTTTTACTACTTTAAAATAAAACCAAGGGCCTTATGAAAAAAATAATAATATAGAGGACTGTTGCACTAACAGTTTAAAGAGATTATGCTGGGTTGTTGTTGGGTTTGTTTTTTTTAAGACTTTCTGACTTTTTGCTAATCAAGGCCAACATGTTAGCACTTACTGAACTTTATTCCATTTTCTCGGATTCTCCAACCAGACACACTCCATTTCACCTTCCTCCACCCAGAGGTGGCCGTGCTGCCACAGGGAATGGCACCTGCGGGGGTTTAGCAAGTGGAAGCCACCCAAGTGCAGTCAGAGCGTACTGCAGAGAGAGCGTCAGGAATGGCTGATGCGTTCAGTTTTCAATGTGTTCGATTAGCTAAAGGCCCACAGTAAATAGGAGCCGAGTCTGGCTCGATTAGTAAGCTTCTTGAAGACAGGCCGTATCTGTGTGTCAGCCTAGCACATACTAGGCCTTTAGTAATATTTTTGAATAAATAACAAACAGGTTTTTTTTTAAGAGGTTTTTGCCTTAGGACATGTATGTTCAGCGGAGAGAGACACAGAGACAATGAAAGGGGAAGTGAGAGATCACCCTCTAGGTGGGATGGCCACACTGCAGTCTCTTCTCCTCCTGGGATCTTGGGCATGCATACACAGGCACCCGGAGTGAGTTTCAAGGCACTGGGCCTGGGACTCAAACCACAGTTGGCCATGTGGGAGTCCAACGATATAACCGCTAAGCCATTTGCTGCCCCATGTGCATCTTTTTAACTCCCCAACAAGCAGCTTATTTAAACATTTATCAAGTCTGTGATTTCTTGAAAACATTAAGACCATGGTCCAGGAAACAGACTGTCTTGGGCTCAGCTCTGCACGGACACCAAGGCCCAGCATCCATCTCTGCCAGAACTGTGGCACATTGGTGGGGTAGAAACAGCTCTGGACGTCTTTGTGGTGCCGATTCCTGTTATTATTTAAAATGGAGATGCTGAAATAGTCTGGGAATTTGAATGGATGTTGTCAGCACAGCTGCTGAATTTCTTTTTCGTAGGACTAGCTTGACACGCCAGGTAGTAACACCGTACAAACCAGTGTCATTCACCCGGTTAGCTCTTGCCTCTTGTCTTTGCCAGACATGGAAACCGGACTCATTTTCGTCCTGCGTTCTATCAATAAGTCCGTCTCATGCAGAGGATCCAAAGGCAGCCACTGTTTGGCATTAATGTGTGATGTTACTGTATATTACTTGAGAGCATAGAAGAAAGACTAGCTTGGAAAAATCCTGGCATGTCCTTTAATTAATATTTGTTCAGGGATGGCCCAGTAGCCTACCAGTTAGGAGAGCAGGATTCTACATGGCTGACTGAGTTCAAATCCTGGCCGCAGCAGTTTGAAAAGCTAGCCAAGTATGTGTGTGTGCATGCCCAAAATAGATAGAGAAATGGAAGAGAAGGGATTGAGGCACGGCTACACCTCATGGGGGGGGGGGGGTTGCTTTCTCCCTTCTCTCGCTCTCAATCTCTATCTCTCTGGTGAATGCACACGTTTAAAAAAAATGATTCACATCTATTGTCTTTTACAATTATGGTGCACTATAAATTAAGGTAGCACAATGACCAGAGTAAGTGTTTAGTAAGTGTTCATTGAATTAAACTGAATTTCTGTAAAACATTTCACTAAGGGATTCTGTTGCACCTTCACTTGTTTTCATTTCAACACTCTTGTTCCCCTGACCACATGGGATAAATGTCAGAGATTCCCTGTAAATTGTTGGCTTCGGGGAACAGAGCTAATAGCTATTCTCGTGTTCCCGGGTCTGGCTGTCAGAATGATGACAGCCGATACAGTACAGCCACGACCATGCAAATCTTTTTTCTTTTGGAATCTACATGTTCTCTATTCGAGCATGGGTAAGGGAGGATGCAGAGTATGGGTTGTTCCTTATCTACTCAAAGCTTAAGGCACTGGATTCCCACATGGCCAACCACAGTTTGAGTCCCAAATCCAGCAGCTTGAAAATCATGTCGTGGATGCGTATATCCATGCCCAAAATAGTGACAGGAGAATGGAGGAGAAGGGATTGTTGTGTGGCTATCCTCCCTGGCTATTCTTACCCTCTCTCTGTCTCTCTCTGGCAAGTACACACACCCTATAGCAAAAACCTAAAGGAAGAAAGAAAGCTTATCGGAATGCCAGTGAATAAGGGTCATTGTTAGAAAATCTTGAATTTTTCAAAAGTAAATTTTTTATAAATGTCACCCCTTGAATCATAGGATGTCTTGCTCATGGACACATAAAGGCCCTTGTTGGATGGCATTCATGTTCTGACCTTAGCACTAAGTTGGAATAAGTAGAACATCCTAGTGGGAGACATGAATATGATGAAGCTTTTCTTAGAATCCTCAACACCAGAGCAAGTTTCAGGTCCTGCTCTCCAAAAGTGTTGAGGAGAACAGCCTGCTGTGGCTTTTTCTACCAAGGAGGGTGAGTTTTAATCATTTCAAATAGATTCCTTAAAGCCATCTCTGTTGTTTTAGCTCAGTCCAGCAGGCGTAGACACCTCTTCCTTAACTCGAGAAGGATAAATGTGTCTTGCGTTATTTCAATGAACCTTGATAAAAAATTCTGCAATGGTTGGGAACCAGCAGTTATCATAATGGCTATGTCGCTGGACTCCCACGTAGTCAACCGCGGTTCGCATCCCGGAGCCGGTGGCTTAAAACTCACACCGTGCATGTGTGTATGCATGCCCAGGATCCCAAGAGGAGAATGGAGGAGAAGGGATTGCAGCGTGACCATCCCCCCGGGGGGTGATTTCTCGCTTTCTGTCTCTATGTCTCTCTCTGTCTGTCTGGCGAGCGCATGCGCCCTATAGCGAAAACCTCTCCAAAAAAAAAAAAAAATTCTGCATTGGTGACAACTCTTCAAAAAGCTGCTGTGTTCTCCACAATAAAATAGCACCTCATCGGTTTGCAGATGATGCCTAGGTTTCCAAAATATGGAAGAGAAATAAATAAACTATTAAGATTCTTTTTTCCCAGAGAGGAAAAGGGAAAAATGTTTCACTGTATTCTGGGAGTGTCTCCTTAGTCTTCTATCATTGTTCCTCATCACCACACCAGGAGGAGAGAATCATGGCTTAGTGCTAATTAGAAAATGAGGTGGTGATTTAATATTAGGGTACTCTGTATTCCTTAAGCTGCATATATTAATTTTTTTATAATCAGGAGTAAAGAAAAGGCTATGAATTAAATATTTGTGTTTTCATATCAGAAATACTATATATTCCCACATTGAGTAAAAAGATATTTACTATTTCAGAATCTTTTTTCCCTATGCTTTTTTGTTTTTAGTCATTGTTTTTCTTTAAAAATTTTTATATAAATATATGATTTTTTTTTTTTTGCTCATTTTAAAAGAACTCTTGAGGTTGATTCATGATCCATTTGTAGTTTCTGACTTTATCTTTTTTATTTTTAAAGATTTTTGCCATAGGGCACAGGCACTTGGCAGAGAGACAGACAAGAGACAGAAAGCGAGAAATCACCCCCAGGGAGTGGGAAGGGAGTGGCCATGCCACAATCCCTTTTCTTCCATTCTCCTCTTGGGATTTTGGCCACGCATGCAAGCACCTAGCGTGAGTTTTAAGCCATCGGATCTGGGACTTGAACTGTGGTTGACTTTGTGGGAGTCCAGCAACAAAACCATTACTCCATCTGCTGATCCCAGGTTCTGACTTTATACTTTGTTATATTTTACTCTGTAGGTTAGTACGAAAAGCAGTGGCAGACTTCTAATTTCTTTTTCTTAGAATCTGCCTCTCTAGAACAAATAACAAGAAATGATTGTAGATTTTAGCCTATAAAACTTAGATTCAGGGAAGGCTCCTTGGCTCCTAAGACAATTCATTATAAACGTTAGCCCATCAAAACAGTTAAGTTAGAAGCTGCCCAACCTTTGTTCTTTGACCATTCAAAACCAGATATGAGTCGACATAGGACAATCTGAGTGTAAGTCAGAACCCAAGCACCTCCTGTTTTTAACACTTTGCAACAACAGGGTAATTCTGCGAGTGTGTGGTGCGGTCTTAACGGGTTGTCTTTGAGGCAGTCTTAGCAGTGGAGTTAACTCAGACTCTCAAACCTTTCAGTTCTAACACTCCAAGAAAAGCTGTGTTTGCTGGGAGCATGCAGTTGCTGGCTGGAGTCAAGCTGTGCACGGGAAGGACTTTAACCAATCACCCACACTACGAGGATAGCAGCCTGAGAGAGCGAACCAAGGCGGTGAGGGCCCATCGTGCCTCTTCTTGCTTCTTGTGGACCAGCCCCAGGCCGAGCTCCCTGTCTTTCATGAAGATGGGGCTTAGTGCCACGTACCTCCAGCTGCTAGGTGATGTCTAGGGGAACTCAGGTGGTATGTAAGTGCTCAGGTCCCCTGATTCTGGACTTGGGCCTGCCCCCCATCCATTAAAGGCATGCCACTTAGGCCACACGTTCCTCTGAACTCAGGAATAATTGAGAAGACCATTGCCTTGAGAGAGAGTATTTGGAAACACAACCCTCAGAGCTTTTAAGTTGGGGAGAGAAGGGAAAAGGGGCGAGATACTTGCCACATTTTTAATGGGCCACTTTGTTTGAGTTTGTTGTTGTTTGTTTACTAAAAGACCCACATAGTTTAAAGTTCATTAATATACAGTAAGGAATGTAATGAACAGTCTCTCTGCCACTTCTGTATTCCAGCATCTGATTTCTCTCCTAGGAGGCAAATACTAATAGTAGTTTCTTGTGTCTCCTTCTGTAATCATTCTGGGCATATTCAATGTACACACACCTCCATACACACACACTCTCCTCATTTTTTACAGAAGAAGTAGCATACTACATCTTGCATTTTTTGGCACTTAATGATCTTTCTTTATCAGCATAGTAACAGTTTTCTTGTTATTTTAAAGCTGCATAATTTCTGTAGATACCGGGTTTTGGATTTTTTGTTTTTTAGATATTTGCCATCTGCCGTGGGGGGATGGCCACTCTACAGTCCCTTCTCCTGGGATTTTGGGCTCGCAGAGTTGTGTATATTTGAGGTGTCTGATACTGATGGTGAATGTGAGGGGCGTGCCTCCTGAAAGCTGCTCTAGTTCCGGGGAAGGGGAGAAGGGGATAGAAGCGTCAGGATCTCCTGATCCTGCGAGATGCAGCGTAGCAACCAGGAACAAGTGCTGAGCCAGCCTGGGAGCAGTGGCCCTACAGGGCTCCTCTGCTCCACCTGCCTTTATCAGAAACTGGGTCTTCTCTGTACTCATACCTGTGCCCCTCCAGGTTGTACCCGCACCCCCAGTGAACTGTTAGTCTCAAAGTCTCCCTTTTAAAGTAGAGAGTGTGTCTTCTGGAGCCATGTCATTTATCCTACTCAAGCCTTAGAGTTGGCATCTACTGGTGAATATACTCAGAACTCAAAATAATACATTCCAAGTCGTCCAAATGTACTTGACATGACTCATCTCCCTCTTTCCAAAGCTGAGTAATAGCAATATTCTTTAGATATCTCCCCACACACACCAGGACTACAGATACATGAGTACATCAGCAGCCTGAGCCATGAGAAGAAGGGGCCCTGGGTACTTAGGTCTAGATTTGACCCCTATGGCATGTTAGTTACATCATATTGCTCAATTAACCTGGAGACTGAGTGGTATTTTGCTCTATTCCATTTTTACCATTTTGAAGGTTTATCAGATATATGCAAAGAGGTCTCCGGAGGACGTGCATGCCCTCTTGAGGTCCTTTGGCACTGACTATGTAATTCTGGAAGACAGCATCTGCTATGAGCGAAGACACCGCCGGGGCTGCCGACTTCGGGATCTGCTAGACATCGCCAATGGACACGTGAGCATGTTCTGTCTAACCATGTCCAGGGGATCTCTGGGAGGGGTGGGCTTCCAATTCGAACCTTAACTAGTAGAAATATTTTTACAGTCTTATATAACCATTATATTATGAGTCAAGTATTTACTTTCCCTTGCATACTGCAGAACTCCTTCCCCTGGCACTTTAGTGACTGCCACGGGGACTGGGTAAAGGAAGAGGTGACAGAAGGGCTCCAGGTCCCCAGTTCCACATCAAACAGAGCAATTCCAGAGGGTCATGAGCTCATGACCAGCATGGGCAGCATGGCGAGACCTGTGTAAGAAAACTGTGCCTCAGCTATTCGAAAGGCTGAGGCAGGAAGATTGTGATTCCACCAACACATTTTTCCCTTAAAGTTTATTTATTTCTTCCATGAGAGAGAAAGGCGTCCCCAACTGGATCTGCCTGCCATGACCTAGACCCAGCCTCAGCCAGCCCAGATTACAGGCACATACAATAATACAAGGAGGTCTCAAGACATGAACCCAGGACCTTTTCAAATGGGTCCAGCACCACAGGGCATTGGGATATTACTGAGACTCCATCTTTAGGGGAAAAAAAAAAACAAAACAAAACAGGGTAACTTGGGCCAGCAGGTGGTGTGGTGGTGAAGACGCTAGACTCCCACGTGACTGATTGCAATTCAAGTCACAGACCATGTGACTTGCTTTCTCATTTTCCTTCTCTGTCTCTCTCTGGTGAGTACAGGTGCTCTATAGCAAACTTTTAAATAAAAACAATAAGTAAATAAATAACTTTTTAAAATTAGGTATATATGGGGCCGGTAGGTAGCATGGTGGTTAAGGTACTGGACTCCCACGTGGCCTACCACAGTTCAAGTCCCAGACCCGGTGGCTTGCTTTCTCACTTTCCCTCTTTGTCTCTCTCTCTGTCTCTCTATTCAAATTAAAGATTAATAATGATAATACAAAAATAAGTAAAATAATTCTTCTTTTAAAAAAATTATGTATTTTTTTAAAGGGCTTATACGATGAGGCTCTGCATAAATTTTATTTTTTAAGGATTTTTGCTGCTAAAACCTTAGCCTTTCAAATCACTGCTCCAAAGCATCATATTGACTCTTCCATGAGTGACAGACAGTGGGGCCCATCCTTTCTCTCCCAGCCTTGCGGCAGATTTTTACTGCTCTACCCACTGTCTCTCAAGTATGTCTGTGTGTCCAGCACATGTCCACAAAATTGGCTTTCTATGGCTAAGCTTGCATCCCAGAACAGAAGCCATTTCTCTTTTCTGCCTTCTGAGGGAAAGGCTCTTGGAGCTATGCCAGTGCTCAAATATAGTAGACAGAAGAGGTTCACTCTTTAGAAGTGTGGTGTGTGCTGTGATATTTGTATAAAAGCTGTTAAGTATTTGTAAGCGAGTGGAACAAAATGACAAACCTAGCCTAAATTTGAAGGGGAAAAAATTGCACCAATTTTGAGTTTCAGATTTTTGCCCTAGGAAAGTAATAGCCCATAATAATTATCTTGAATTCAGAGACAGTACAGACCAAAGTCATACTTTTAAGTTGTGTTTCATATGCAACTTTGTCGAACGAGGCGTTCTGATGAGTGAGAGGACTTTTCTGGTCATAGTGGTTCTCCTCTGTATTTCAATTTTGTGAGAAGGACTGTGTAGTACATTCCTAAACACAAGGAATTCCAAGTTCCAGGCCTTGCCATTGACGGTGATCATTACATGATACCAAACCCTCCTGCCCAGCTGGGTAAGGGAGGAACCAATGATCTCCAAATAGCACTGACCTTGATATAATAGAATTTAATTTGAATGACACACCATTCATAAAGGTTTCCATTACCTATTCCTGCTACCATTGACCATTATAAATACAGTTCTTGGTACCAGCAGGTGGCATGGTGGTTAAGGCACTGGACACTCCCATATGGCCGACTAGGGTTCAAGTCCTGAATCTGGTGGCTTGCTTTCTCACTTCCTCTCTCTCAGTCTCACCCTCTGTCTCTCTCTGGTCAAACTAAAATAATAATAATAATAAATGCATGAATAAATAAAATAAAATAAACAATTATTTTTAAAAATAATAATAAATAAATAAATACAGTTCTTTTTTTCATCCCAGTTGTATTTGGGTTTGTTTTGGTTTTAGATGATGGATGGCCCAGGAGAGAATGATGCTGATTTGAAACCTGCAGACCATCCTCGTTTCTGTGAAGAGATAAAAAGAAACCTGCCTCCCTACGTGGCACACTTCACTAGAGTGTTTCAGAATAAGACATTCCACGTTTACAAACTGACCAGAAACAAATAACGACAATTGTTGTCCAGTCTCTATTTTTGATACAGTGAAGCTGCATCATAAGGATACTCAGTAGATAACGTTTCCTATGTAGGTAGGTAGTCAGTACCTTAAAGCTGTGATACCAGTAAGTTCTACAGATGTTTACACACGAACGTTACAACCTTTGGAAGTATCTTCTACAGACCTTTTTTTGTCTTGTCTCTGTCTGTTCCATTGGTGTTCTTTAGCCTAAATGTTCACAACTTCCGAAGAACAACCTAGAATTTGATTGCTGGTAAGTCTGTTCCATAGTCAGACTGGACAACCACATATCATGTTGAAAAATGAGAGCCTGTTTAGGCTTTCAGATGCTTTTAATCTTCAGTTGACCTAAGATAGCTATGATGGAATTAAATTGAGAGAACGAATAATTAAATTATTTAATATTTCACTCGTGAAGACTAATTGGTGGCTTAAAAAAAAAAACATGTTATTGTCCTGTTTCACCTTAAAATTTTGTAATGCTTTTTGATCATCACACTTTTAACATTAACAGAAATCATGCCAGGTCTTTGTATGTATCGTAAACATTTTATTACACTATCTGAAATGTAATGTATAGCACTTCAGTAGACTATTTTAAGTAGTGTGTGTGTGTGTGTGTGTGTGTGTGTGCGCGTGTGTGTGTGCATGCATGTGTGTGTGCATGTGTATGTTTTAATGCTGGGCACAAAAAAGTGTTACAACTTCCATAGTAGAAGTCCTTAAAGGGGCAGAAATGTATGTAGCCAAGCAGAATTTGTTACTGTTTAGTGTTATTTTAAAACCTGTTGATACTCTGAAACCTCTACTGCAAGTAAAATAGTTTTGCTTTCTTACTTATTTCAATTTACTGGGTTTACAAAATTTTGTAAACTTTTTGTGTTTTTAGCCTTTGTATTTTTTACAGCCTAGAAACTTGCAAAATCTGAATATTTTTAAAGTGTTGTATCTTTAACTAGTTCACTAGTACAATATTTTTGGCAGACAGCATTTTCATACCAAGTTGAACTTGTGGTCTCCAATCTTACCATGAGGACCCTGGTAGCATTATTCTTTTCCTTACTAAAAGCTAACCAAGTGCCTCTAAGTCATGCTTATTTGTAAACAACAAAGAGGATTATATATATACGCTCAAAAAGTTTTGATAATTGCTTTTATAATTAACTTCTAATGCTGGGGACATGCAAAAGTTGCTGATAAAAGCATAGTGTTCACTTAATTAAATCAAGATGGCTAATGAAATTAACTTTGTCTATGTTCTTGCCAGTTGGAAATGATTTAACATTTCTCCTTGCAATTGTATCAAAGTAAATTACTATAGGCATCAAAATGGCTACGTCACATATTCAAATGATTTTATATTCAGTTACTACTTATTAAGCAGCATTCAAAAAAATTTTCACGCTGTCATGTTGGATGTAAGGATACTGGGCTTTGAGCAAAACTTATTTAAATTAAAAATTGACAGTAGCTGGGTTATTAAATTATGCAACTGAAACTCCTGAATTATATCTTTACTATATCCCTTAATAAGGTTGGAGACCACTGCAGTTTAGGATAATACAATAATAAAACATTTTAATCAGTACTAAAACTTTAATTAAGCCAGTGATGATGCATGCCTGTTGTAGCTGACAGCATGGGTCAGGACATCCTTCAGCGAGTGCCTTGCTCTGATTAAAACCAAGCACATGTAAGGTACAATATGCTAGACCGTGTGGCTTTATTTTTAAATCTTCCGTTACCTTTTTGGATGTATGTAAATTTATTTTAAATATTCCTAATATGTGTTAGTCTAAGCATTTGGGTGTTTGATTCTTTGTCTCCATAGACAAGGAACGTGTACTTCAATTTTTATGGTTTCCATCACCGCACTGTTGACTCGTAGTGACTTTTCATGGTTTAGCTGCCATTGTTACCAAAACACTTAGTGTTCAATCTTTAGTGAAAAATATTAAGTGCCAAAACAAATCTTGCAAGACAGAATCCATACTCTTTCCAAGACACTGTGACCATGTACAGTAGAAGTTTTTATTTATCGATGACCAAATCTCACAACACATCATGTTAAATATTTTTAGCTCTTGTAGTATTCTCTTTTAATGACTTGCTCATCAGCGTACACAGGAAGAAAGAGAGGAAAAGCATCTGACTCCTGGCTCTGGTTTCTGGCCTCTCTCTATCAAGCCGAGTCAAGAGACCAGTGGCCTAAGCTTCCTGGCACACAGACTTCAGTGGTTGTGTTAATATTTGGTAGTAACCTCAAATTATGTCTCTGCTTTTTTTAATCTATAGAAAAACCACTTGATTATGCTTCTGAGTTAGCAGTCAGAAGAACCGGTCACTTTTATTACAGGCTTCTAAGTATAATAGAAGTGCTCTTAACTGACTCTCCTTACGTGATTCCCAGACTCCTGAAGTCTCCAGCCCTCTTGTAAGCTGCCTGCCCTGTACAGCCAGGAGGCCACTCTCTTGTGTTCTCAACCTTCCTGTTACCTCCCTTGAGTTTATGCCCAGTCCAGCCAAGTTCTACTTCTTACTGTAAGTACATGACTCAGTTAGCTTTTTATATAAACCTAGGAAATACAGGTGTAAAAAGAAAGTTGTTTTTGCTAAAATTAAGCCGAGTACTTTGGTAAAATTGGGTATGGTTGGTCACCCCTGTGGCCTGGTGGTTAAGGGAGTGGGATCCCACATGGCCAACTGTGTAGCTCAAATGCCTGCCCCAGTGGCTTGAAAAATGCACTGGGCACTTGTGCATATGTGCCCAAAATCCTGACAAGATGGGGAAAAGGGAGATAGGATTGTAGTGTGATCATACCCCATTTGTGGAGGAGGGGCTTCTCTCTGTGTCTCTCTGGTGAGCATAAGTGCCCTCTGGCAATTTTAAAAAATAAGTAAATAAATAAGTGTGGTGAGGGAAATTGTAAGATATTGGGAACACATAAAAATCAAGAGAACTTCTGAGCTTAGATTACTTTATAGATTTATCTAAGTACTCAGTCTACCGTTAAGAAATCTAAACCTATAGAAAGGTATTATAATGTACCCAAACTGGGCCAGCCTCATAGCATAATGTTTAAGCACTGTGCATTGGGAGCCAGATCCCACATGGCCAACCACAGTTCAAATCCCAGCTCCAGCAGCTTTGGGGGGGAAGAGAATGTATATAAATCAAATTATTGGTATGATTTATGTGAGAAGTAGAACTGCAGTCATTGGACCCTTAAACAAAAGGAAGACCTTGGCTTTATATCAAACATCAGCAAGTGAATGTGCAGTTATGAACGTTTTGATTCCCTACTTTAACCTCCTTAATTTCATTAAACGACCAACTACTGATATTACTGATCACAGTGGCTATTCTAGTTGAAAGTTCGTCACTTTTATTACAGGCTTTTAAAAAATAGGAATTCACTTCAGAGATATTAGCCAAAAGCTTAGTTAAGTATTATCTAGGCCATTTGTTGTCCTCTCATAGAGGACCTTTGTGAAATCAGCTTGGGGCATATATGTGTGTAAGAGTGTGTGTGTGTGAGTGTGTGTGTTTTGGATGGTTGCTGCCAGGTGGCAAGGGCATATGTCAATATTTTATCTGATCTGCATCTTTATTTCACAGTTAAGTAAAAATAAAAGATTTTTTCTGATTTCACATTAACTTTGTCTAAGATGGAAACATTTTAGATCATCTTTGGGTAAAGTCTACCTGAATTAACATAGAAATATTGATTTTTAAAATTCAATTCAAACCTTAGAATTAATAGGAAGATAATAAAATGTTCTCAGATTGTGTATCTTGGTTAATGTGCTCCCAAATGCTTTTTACGTTACAGCCTTTTGGCCTAAGAGAGTTTGTTCATGGAAAAGGGTTTTTAGGGTGAGAGAGTGGCTTACTTTCTTGTGGCAATTGACTTTTTGTTTTTAACATCATATAGGTACAATGCTACAAAGAGCTTTTATAATTTGTTGTACTGAATTGTATGGAGATTATATACTAAATAAAGCTCTTTTAAATTACACAAAGTGAGTGTCTTTAACATCTTTAAAGGTCAAAACACAAAGAACCTAACCTACTGACCGAAATGCATTAAATATATGCCAAATGGAATACATCGCTAAAATGGGTGTGGCAAGCTCTTAATTGTATCTATTAAGTTTTTTTTTTTTTTAACACAGAATTTGGCTCAATAGCTGCTTATCAGTTTCACTTGAATTTCAGGTTTATAGTTTAGATTTATAAAGAGAAGTCTCCTCTCAGCAGACTATATCCTCAATGAGATCATTGTTATTTGTTTTAACTTTAAGAACAGTATCTACTTCTTGATTATATTCTGTCTTTAGTCATTCAGAAAGATGGATGGTAGCCCACATTTTTGGTAAGACAGTATATATAACAAATGTGCCTGACTGGTATTCAAAACAGATGTTGAAATTCCAAGTTTTTTTAGGAATGGTCATAAAGACAAATAGAAGAAACTGGCATAGGACCTCAAATATTCTGTATCGACAGTAGTCTCTAGCAAAGTAAGAATTAAAAATAATGTATGTAAGTAAGAGATTTGGGATATGAATGAACTGAACACGTAATAATTTGATCTGAGACAAATGAAATGCTTTTTTCCTGCCCTTACTTTCAGAAAAGTTATCTGAAATATATTAAATACAACTCTTTAGGTAATATTTAGAAATTTGCTTTTTTATAGGTTTTTTTCAAAATGCAGATTATATAACGATAGTGTAATATGAAATCAATCTGGTCCCTTCAGCCACCCTTTCTCTCTTGCGCTCAGGCCCACTCCTACCTCTCAGGAGTGTACTTTTGCTTTGCTTTATCAACTACTCTGCTTTTACTATCGCTGTGTTTTGTTCAATTCTCTGTCCAAAACACCGAGAACCTGGACATCACAAAAAACATCCTACCACAATACCAATGAGTGAAATTGCTGAGTCGGATAACTCCTCTTGGTCACCTCCATGATGACTATGCTGCTACAAGAAACAGGTGTGACTCCAGCACCTCAGGTCCTGTCCAGATCAAAGGCAAACATGAGATCCTTGAGCAGGACACAGAGAAGGTTTGGGGTATTGGAGCAGTGGATGTTCCAAAGAAGATCAGCTGGTGGGACTACTGCCTGTGATGAAGTCAGAGCTCACAATCACTACCAAGAAGCCTCCAGGGGCCAAGTCCTGGGGGGAGACTGAGGACATCCTAGCCCATGGCTGGAGCCCCCAGAGCGGTCCTGAGCCTGACGATAACCACCTGTAGCACCCCTGCCTGAGGAAGCCCAGGGCGAGGAAGGACCTTGGGTCCGGGCAATGGTGTCTTACCAGGTGTTTCTGGGGCCATGGAAAGACCAAGACAACATCTGTGACCCTGTGTGGAGTTTTAGGAGGTCTTGACTGCCCTCTCACTTCTGCCAAAGGCCCAGATTATAGGACTGCAGCCCTCTAAACCATTCCCAGCTAGAAAAACAAACACTGCCAAGAGGGAAAAAAAAAAGAAATCTAAGGATCACAGCAGATGGCCTAAGGGTTACATTGCTGGACTCCCACGTAGTTGACCACGGTTCAAGTCTCCAACTCACTGGCTTAAAACTTATGCCAGATGTGGTGTATGTGTGCCCAAAATCCTGAGAAGAGAATGAAAAAGGGATTGTGGCATGGCATAACCCTCCCTCCAGGGAATGATTTCTCACTTTCTGTCTCTGGCAAGCACACACGCCCTATAGCAAAAAATCTCTCTTGAAAAAAAGAAGAAAGAAAAGAAAGAAATCTGTTGGGTTGTAACTGATATTTGGGAGGAAGGAGGAGGGAAGAGAAAAACAGGAGTGTACATGTAGGTGTTAATGTATTGGAGCGCAGTATAAATATGTTCCTTACTATGAATTATAGTCAGAATTTTAAAACTGGGCCCTAATAGCAGAAAGTATTCTGGGAGTGACAGCTTGAACTTCTGTCTGTCTTTGTACCACAGCATTATTCTAATAGAACTATCTACACACTGATAATATTAAAGAACTTGTTTAGGTTTTGTCATAGGGGTTGTGTGCTTGCTAGAGAGGAGACAGATATTGAGAGGGAAAGTAAGAAATCATAACCCAGGGAGGATGGCCATGATGCAATCCCTTCTCCTTTCTCCTGGGATTTGGAACACACATGCACACACATGCTTCCATAGTGATTTTTAAGTCACCAGGTCTGGGGACTCAAACCACAGTGGGGCACATGGCAGTCCACTATGCCATGTGGACTGTGCTGGCTCCTATTTTTTTAAGTTCTTTTAAAACATGTATTTCCAGACAAAATTACACATCCAAGATTTGTGTCACAATAATTTTGTGGGGCATCTAAATGAAATAAAATTGGCCATGAGTGATTAAGCTAGTTCGTAGTTTGTCATAATGAAAAGCTAAAAGTTAGAATCAACAAAATGAATAGGAGACTAGAAAGATGAACACAGAAAATAAAGGCTAAAAATAACCAATAAGGCGACCAGCAGGTGGCGTGGTGGTTAAGAGCACTGGACTCCCACATGATAGAGCGCAGTTTGAGTCCTAGACCTTGCAGCTTGCTTTCTCACTTTCCCTCTCTCACTCTGTATCTCTCTAGTCAAATTTTAAATACATAATAAAGTTAAATAAAATATTTCTTTAGAAAATAATAATAAATAATCAATTAGAAAATGGTAGAAATGATTAATCCAGTTCTTTTTAAAAGACCAATGAGACCCAGCCACATCAGCACTTATTGGATGCTGCTGCTTGGCAAGCCAAGACTACATAGGAGGCCCTGGTTTGATTCCCAACCCACCCTATGAACTGGG